ATTGGCATCTCTACCAGTCACCAGTAGGGACATCGCGCGTCATACAGAACGTGATCCCGTCCTCAGCTTGGTCGTAGACTTCACCAAGAAGGGATGGCCATCACATCTTGATGATAAAGTGTTGAAGCCCTATTTTGACAGACGCAGGGAACTCACAGTCCACGAGCGGTGCCTAATGCATGGAATGAGAGTCGTCGTGCCCCCGAAACTTCAACAGCTGGTCCTGGAGGAGCTACACCAGGGACACCCAGGAATAGTGCGGAGCAAAGCACTCGCCCGAAGCTACGTATGGTGGCCCTCCTTGGAAACGGACTTGGAGAACCAAGTGAGACACTGTACGGCATGCCAACAGCAGCGCCACATGCCAGAAAAGGCACCATTGCACCCTTGGTCATGGCCGACACAACCGTGGTCACGGGTACATGTAGATTTTGCGGGCCCTCTTCGCGGTCGTATGCTACTAGTCATTGTAGACGCGCATTCTAAATGGCCGGAGGTTTTTGTCATGACGTCTACCACCGCAGAAGCGACGATAACAAAACTGCGTGATTTATTCGCTCGGTATGGGGCACCAGAAGCTCTGGTTAGCGATAACGGTGCGCAGTTTACATCGTCCGAGTTTAAAGAGTTCCTTAAAGAACAGGCAGTTCGACAGGTTCTCACTTCTGCATATCACCCCAGCAGCAATGGACTCGCAGAGAGATTTGTGCAAACCCTAAAGAACGCACTACGAAAAGGCCCTGCAACTGAAAGTATGGAGGAAACCTTGTCAAAGTTCTTAATGACATATCGCAACACTCCGCATGCGACGACTCAAGAAACCCCATCTTTTCTTTTTTTGGGTCGTCGGCCACGAACACGGTTGGATGCACTGAAGCCGGCTCTGGATCGTACTATCCGAGCACGTCAGTTTGAACAGACTTCACGGCGCAGGGGTGCTAACAGTGTGTTCGAAGTTAACGATGAAGTGTTCGTGCGTAATTTCAGGAGCGGCCCCACATGGTTCCACGCAACAGTACTGCAGCGGACGGGACCAGTGTCCTACGTGGTCAAGGTGCGGACACCGGATGGACTCCGTACTTGGAGGTGACACAAGGACCACCTGCGCTCAGCGTCTACTGCAGTGACAGCGCCGTCCCTTGTGGGGGAGGACGATACCGACACCATCTATCCTGCGTCTGAAGCCGACGTACCACCTCCGTCTACTGTCTCCGCAAGACAAACGGTGCCCGTCACCCCCACTAACGCTGCGCCTCGGCGATACCCACAACGCCAGAGAAGACCCCCCGATCGCTATGAAGCCTCATGACGTTCCAAATTGCGGTGGAGGAAGTGCTAGAGGCCGCTGCCGTTGCTATCAGCAGTACGCGTAGTACTGACGTCACCGGGCGCTCTATAAGAAGAGCACCGTCATACGCGCAGCCAGATCGCTGCCGGCCTCTGCGGAAATAAAGCTGTTTCGCAGTCCTTCCTTCGTCTGGCCACTCCTTGCACCGCAGACATAACAGTTGTACCTTTTCGTTTGTAGTGTGCATGCCTTTAGCATTAATCTTGTGGCCTAGAAAATGTACTACCGGTACACTGAAGCGGCACTTGGCCTTGTTGAGACGCAGGTTTGCCTTTGCCAGTCGCTGTAGCACGGCTGACAATCGTTCCTTGTGCTCTTGTTCCGTGGCACCACTGACAAGGATGTCGTCGAGGTACACACAGACACCGGTTAGCAAACTCAAGGTGGTCTCCATGAACCTTTGGAATATTGCTGGAGCTGCTGCCACAGTGAAAGGAAGCCCCTTCACCTTGTACAGTCCTTTTACTATATTTACGGTGAGCAGCTCAGCCGTAGCTGGAGTCACGTGAAGTTGTTGGTAGGCTTGCGCTAGGTCGAGGATGCTGGATGTAGTTCCTCCCGCAGACTGCTCTACACTTCCTTCGTTGTTGGCAAAGGATAAGACACCTTTTTCGTGGCCTCGTTCACGGTGCAGCGATAGTCACCACAGAGACGAATGGTTCCATCCTTCTTTCTCACCAACACCAACGGCGTGGCTCACTCAGAATGTTGTGTAGGCTCCAAAATGCCTTGCTGTTCCAGTCGGTCAATCTCCGCCTCGACGGCTGGACGGAGCGCAAAGGGGACGGGCCGCTCTTTCAGAAACTTGGGTCGCGCTTCATCTCTCAATTCCAGGTGCACTGGTGGTCCTACATGACCGTGGATGGTCTCGGAAAAGACTGACTGAAATTTCTGTAAACGCTGTGTAATGTTGCTATCGTGTGTCGTTTGGTGAATGCCACTGACTTGAATGCCCAGTGGTCCAAACCAGTTGCGTCCAAGCAAGTTACATCCAGCGCCTTGGACCACAAGTAATGGAAGCTGGCAAGTCTTACTTGAGTGGCTGACATCCACAGTTGCTGTACCTAGGTGCTCAATTTTCTAGCCTGCCCAGGTGCGCAGACGAATGTCATCTGGTTGTAAAACAGGTGGTTTTGTAGGTCATACAGCTCGAAACGTATCACTGCTGACCAAGGTGCAAGCGGTACCTCAGTCAACCTTAAATGTCACTGGCTGGCTCTGTAGAGTGAGTGTCACGGTGGTTTTGGGTGTAGTGGACTCACTTGCTACTGATATTGACATTTGTTGTGATATTGATATTGACATTTGTTGTTCAGCAGGTTGAGGCTCTCTTAAAATGCCCAAGTAGTTGTTGCGTTGCAGCGCTTTCTTTGTAGCTTTTTTTTTTAATGCACGCTTTTTCGATATGGCCTCGCTTCCGACAGTAGTGGCAGGTTGCTGTCGCGAACTTGCATCAGTTGAGACTGTGTCCTTCGTCACAGCGCCAACAGCGTTGTGACACTGTTGGCGCTGCACTGGTTGTGGCTTTGTTCATATCCGAGTGGTCGGATTTCAACTTTTGTTGTTGCTGAACAGCGCTCTCCGCGCGGACCGCGGGATCATAGGCATTGGAAGAAGTGAGATCCTTCTCCGCGAAGAGCCGCGGCTGGAGGTGCTCGTCGCGTAGACATCACACGAGCCGGTCGCGTAACAGCAACTCCAATGGCAGCAACGTCGGGTTAGCAACCCTTGCTGCAGTTCCTGTTTGCAGCGTCGTCTTTGCTCCAACGTTTGCTGTTCCAGTTGCAGGTGACATCGTTGTTGCGATCGCCGATGGGAGCGTTCCAAAGTTACAGTGCGTTGCTAACTTGCGCAGCGCTGCCACGTAGTCGTTAATTGATTCTCCTGCCAGCTGGTTGCATCGCTGAAACATGGTCCGACTGTACACCTCAGACGGGCGAAGGTCGAAGTGTGTTTGTACCGCACTAACAATGTCGGTGTAGCTCACCTGTTCCGGCGTGCTGGGATGTAGCAGAGCACACACAATGTCGTAGGTGTGTGCTCCGCGTAGTGTAAGCAAGTGTGCCCGTTGCTTGATTCGGTCGGTCACGTTGTTCGCTTGAAAATAAAACTGGAGACGACCGTACCACAATGTCCACGAAGTGCCGTTCGAGCCGCTAAACTCTTCCATGCGGCAAGCGAAGTCAGGTGTGCGGGCTGACATACTTGCGTCCGCTTGCGTTTTGGGGTTATCCACGGGGGTCGGACCGTACTCGTCGCCAGTGTTTCCTTAATAATGCCGTTTATTATCGGAACACGGTGAGCAACGCCAACATGGCGACAAACGCACTGCTCGAACAAGTCTTCACTTCGTAGTCTTTTGTCCTCTGCTCCCAACTGCCGTTGGGCAGGCTCTTTGGGCATAACATATACCTTTCAGAACAAATTTATACGATATGCAAAACAAACATTCTCACTTATTGGAATACAAGAGTAAAAAGTAAATTTCCCAGACAACACTAACTGTCGCATAAATAATCGCAATATAATAGCGAGTTTTCGTAGATCGTTTTCGCCGTCCAGAAACGCTCTCCGCAACCCGCTACGATACCCAGAACTCTACAATCAAGGCCATCGGCGCGCGGTAGCCGTTTCTTCGTTGGGGAGGGATTAGCGGAGGGGGAAACGCGGTCTACGAAAACTCACTATAGGCCTTTTCTGTGTACTCTCGTCCCCAACCACCTAATAGACGTATCCGGTATGGGCGACGAAAATATACTAAACTAGTAAAAGCTCTAACTAGTAAAAAAATAAGGGGGAGGCCAAACGAGAATGGGTGACGATTACGCTTAGATCCCAAGTGTCTTCTCTGGCGTGGCGACGGCAAAACAATGTTTTCGCCCATACTGGAAGTGACGTCATTTCAAGATGGCCGCGCCCTTGAGGAAAGGGTCTGTTGAACAAGGTACCCTTCGATTAGCAGTATGTTTTTGGTAAGTTTTAGAGGACAGCTCTTAAGCGCCCGCTTCCGGTCTAAACGATGTAGCCGTCGGCGACCCGCGCGTGTTGCGTTATGGGAAATTTTTTCCCTAAATTTAGCGGGCAATTTCTTCGCTAAATTTACCGGGGAAACATTTCCACTAAATTTTGCGCTAAATTTCGCGGGAAAACTTTTCAGCCAAATTTAAAAGGGAAACTTTTCTACTAAATTTAGCGGGGAAACTTAGCCCGCTATATTTAGCGTAAACATTTCTCCGCTAACTTTACTGAAACAATTTTCCGCTATATTTACCGAGAACATTTTCCCGGTAAATTTAGCGGGAAGATTCGTCCTTTAATTTTAGCGGAACATTGCTCCGCTAAATTTAGCGGGAAAACTTTTTCCCAAATTTAGCGGGTAATTCACGTCACGTGATTTCAACAGCAATTCAGTTTCGCCCCTAAATTCAGCGGGAAAATTTTCCCTAAATTTCCCCCGCTAAATTAAGCGGGAAAATTAGCGAAAGTATGCCGCTAAATGGGAGGGCAGCAGGCCAGAAGGAGGGGAGGGTACGGAGGAGGGGGGGAGGGGGAGAACAGGTGCATTCTCTCCCCTCTGTACCCTTTCCTCTTGCTCCTCAAGAGCTGAACTTTAGTTCGGCGTTACAGAGACTTTATTTTTGCCATTTTTTAGGTCTGGTGCTCAAAAATTAGGAGAGAAAGGCTGCTAAATGATGTACAATATGACGCCCACAGCCCTGCCAAGTATCGGTGAGTGAATGTTTGTTGGAGTGAAACGAGACCCTCAAAGATAATTCTGGGTCATTATAACGAGCACTGTAATGAGACGACATTCTTCGCTGCATTTCTGAAAATTTAGTCATTTTTCTTTATTGTAAGACTGAAGAAGGGTTTGGATTTGGGCTAGTTGGTTGAACATGTTTAGGGGTTAAAAGTGTTAAAAACGACGGACGAGTAGGAGAGACACACACCACAGAGCGCTCTGTGGTGTGTGTCTCTCCTACTCGTCCGTCGTTTTTAGCACTTTTAACCCCTAAACATGTAAGACTGAAGTTTTTCATAAACGGGCATTTGTTGAACTAGGCATATTGGAAGTTGGAACACACCGAAAAACCGCGGCGACGAGGAGACGCGAAAAAGGGTGACAACCACCAGACCATCTCTCGACTGTTGTCCCCTTTTTGGCATCTCCTCGTCTCCGTGGTTTTCCAGTATGTTCGCTCAGCCCCGCGAGTTCAACCGCTCAATCATCCTTATCTTTCAATGTTTGAAGTCAGTTTTGCCGGAACGTCGTTGCGGACGCTTTATGCTTCAGAGAGAGTGGAAGGACACCCGTAAATTCCTATTTCTTAGTGTACAGTTATTCTTATATACGTACATTAGAAAAGGCATTCCTTGGTATAGGACAACCGATGTTTTACAAAATCACATAGCTTAGTCTTTCCTTTTTTTTTAATTTTCACATTTCAGTCGCTTCCTAAGTGGTATCCATGTAGTTACGGTTCTCCGAATTCTGGAACGTATTTGCTTTAAGCGTGTAATCTGCATAACGTAATCAAACAAAACTTTTTTTTATAAAGTTAAATTTGGTTTCGTTATCTATATTTCTAGCATTTACTTAGAAGGGGTGACTGCGACAGCTTAACGAGGACCTCAATAAATCCTAATTGCTTAGCCACAATAAAATCTGTAACTCAAGGCTTGCATTTACTAGCCTTATGTCTCGGTCTTATTGTCTCGAATGACATTTGATGAGGCGACGAATGTGCTGAAACTCTACGTTTAATTTGGTGAACTTGTAAAAACCAAAAGTACAAACAGGTAACGTCGCAGACGTCGAAGGTCGGCGGAGGAGCACGATCAATCGCGATTGGAGAGGAGATCGAACAGTCACGCTTCTAGCGGTATGCCGCAGCTCTGGGAAAAACAAACCGAATTTTTTGTTTGTTTTTGATCAGAGATATTGAAGATGTCAATTCGAAGCCCGCTCCTTGTGCGACAAAAGCACACTGGTCAAAGCGACGCGCAGGTGCCCAGATCGTGCTAGACGAAGTTCAATTACTTCGTTGCTATGTTGGTAAACACCAAGCTGTGGGGACAAGAAGCTCGACAAAGCGCCCCCTATAGCTCGATCTTATGCCCAATAGCGAGACTGACTCCGGACCGCCACGCGGAGCATCGTTTGTACCAGCGTGGGTTTCTGGAACATTCGGCGCAGAACGTTCGGCGCGTAGAACTTTCGGAACTCGATCAGAAGACAAGGTTCTCGTTGTCTGATGGAGCCTCCGCGCGCTAGCCAAGCGCGGTAACCATTCGGCCACGCACGCACTCGCTCGGCGTTGAGCGTGTCATTACTCCCCCCTTTTAAAAGTGCGTCGTCTCGATGCGATGTGCCAGAAAACAAGACAGCAAAACAAACAAAATAATAGTGCACTACAGAGTCTTGTAAAACACGGTCCTATCGAGCGTTAGTAAAAGAATGCAGTTCATACTCCTATCGATCGTAGTGCAGTTTGAAACGCACGGCGTGGACGACTTGCGGTCCTGAAGGGCGGCGTTATGAAGTCCATGTTTTGTCGGGCATCAACTTGCAGTTCAGATCTCCGAGTCGACGAAGCACTTTGTAGGGTTCGAAGTAGCGTTTTCACAGCTCCTCGTTCAAACCGCGGCGGCAAATAGGTGTTTACACTCACAGTATGTCTCCGGGCTGAGAGTGGACGTCGCGACTACGAAGGTTGGGGCGGCCAGCATCGACACGTTGGTGGTTTTGAATCCGGAGTCGGGCGAGCTGGCGCACTTCTTCGGCCCGTTGCGCAACCACCTCGGCGTCGTCGTTCCCATCGTCAGCTGGCTCGTGGGGCAGCATCGTGTCGAGCATCGTCGTTACCTTCCGATTATGTACCAGCTGTAAATGTGCAACTCCACTGGTCTCTTGCACCGCAGTGTTGTAGGCGAACTTGACGTAGGCCAACACCTCGTCTTACGTCTTGTGCTCGACGTTGACGTACATGAAGATCATGTCGGCGATTGTCTTGTTGAGTCTCTCTGTCAGCCCGTTGGTCCGCAGGTGGTACGCCGTGGTGCGACAATGGCTGGTGTGGCTGAGATGAAAAATTTCTTGCGTCACCTGAGCCATGAACGATTACCCCCGATCTGTATTGAAACTTAAAGAGCGCCATGTCGAAGGACGACGTACTCGACGAACTTGGCGACTTCCACAGCAGTCCCCGATGGAAGGGCTTCTGTCTCGGAGTATCGTCTTAGATACTCAATCGCTACGATTATCCCCCGGTTCCCCAGGGTTGTCGGCGGAAAAGGACCAAGTAGATAAATTCTGATCTGCTGCAACGGTGCAGTTGGCGGATGAATTGGCTGCAGGAGACCTACGGGCTTCGTCGGCGGTTTCTTCCGTCGCTGCCACTTGCGGCATGGTCGTGTGTTAAGGTGGGCAGTTTTGAGGAGCCTGGGCCAGTAATACTTTTTATGAATACGGGCCAGTGTTCGGCCATTACCAAGGTGTCCGGACGTCGGGTCGTCGTGGCAGGTTGGAAAGATCTCTTTTCGAAAGTCGCTAGGGATTACCAGCAGCCACGGCGAGTTGTTGTCCACGAAGTTCTCTTTGTAGAGTGCGCATTGTCGAATGCGAAGGTCGGCAGGACTCGTGGGAAAACGCGTGGCATGGTACTCCCGCGCCCTTCAAGGTCCTCTAATAGTGCGCGCAGCTTAGGATTCTCACGTTCACGTCGTGCCATGTCGTCGGTATTCGCTATGCCCAGGAAGCACTCGTCGTCATCGTCGTTGCTGCTGCCGGAAAGCGTTTCGACAGGGGTTCTCGACAGGCAGTTGGCATTGCTGTGCTTGCGGCCTGACTTGTAGACCACAGTCATGTTGAGTTCTTGTAATCGGAGACTATATCTAACGAAGCATTCTGACGGCTGCAAGTGGTTCGGAAACCAGCAGAGCGTGTGGTGGCCTATGACTACACGGAACGGGCACCCATACAAGTACCGACGTAACTTCGTGATTGACCAGGGGACCGCAAGATATTCATTTTTGAATCGTGGAGTAATTTCTCACCGCCTTGGACAGTGTCCGACTTGCGTAGGTGATAACTCGCTCGGTGCCTCCTTGCACTTGAACCAGTATCCCTTCAAGTCCTGTGTTACTAGCGTCCGTGTGAATCTAGGTTTCCGCATCCTGATCGAAGTGTCCAAGAACAGGATGAGTATTCACTTTAGCTCGTGGAGTGCCTGCTGCTGCTCCTCATCCCATTTGAACTTCTCGGCGTCCTTCCTGAGGTTTGTGAGCGGTGCGGAAATCCTTGCGAAATCCTGAACGAAGCGCTGAGCGTAGCCACATAGCCCAAGGGATCTTCGCGCGGCCTTCTCGTTTTTCGGCGCTGGAAATACCGCGACGGCGCGAGTCTTCTCTGCGTTTGAGCGAACGCATTCGTTACTAATCACGTGACCTAGGAACTTCAGTTCGTCATAGGCGAACCCACACTTTGACGGCTTGATGATGGGTCCGGCGGTCCGTATGGCTTGGAGAACTGCTCGGAGTCGTCGTAAGTGATCGTCAAAGTCGCCAAAAAATACAAAGACATCGTCAATGTAGACTAGACAGCTCTTCCACTTCAGTTCGGCCAGTACAATGTTAATGACACGCTAAAACGCTGCCGGCGCCCAGCATAGTCCGAAGAGCTATGCACGGCGCCACCAACTTTCCAGCCAGCGGAAGAGCTTGAACTCGTACAGTCCATCCGGCGTGACGAAAGCTGTCTTTTCTCGGTCCCGTTCTTCGACTTCGATCTGCCAGTAGCCACTCTTCAGGTCCATCGATGAAAAGTATCGAGAGTGGCGCAGCCGGTCTAGCGTGTCGTCAATGCGGGGGAGTGGGTAGACATCTTCCTTTGTCACCGCCATCAGTTTGCGGTAGAGCACGAAGAACCTAAGCGTTCCGTCCTTCTTCTTAGCCAGTACGACTGGAAAGGCAAACGGACTTCTTGAATGCTGGAATATGTCGTCGTTCAGCATCTCTTAAACTTGGTCCTGGATTACCTCTCTTTCTTTTACAGAGACTCGTCACGGCGGTTGATACACAGGTAGCGCGTCGTCCTTGGTATTGATGCGGTGCTTCGCAACGGCGGTTTGGCGTACCTTCAACAACGTCGTAAAGCAGTCGCTCTATTCGGAGAGGAGGTTAATCAGCTGCCGTCGTTTCGAACCCGGAAGCTTAGGGTCAATGCCGGGCTGCGCTGCGATGTACAGTCTTGCTGAAGTGGCGAGGATTCTTCAGTAATGGCGGCGATTGCGGCGAAGTTCCGGAGTTCCTCGACGTGGCCCACAGCTACACCTTTCGTGAGGGACTGCGTTTCTTGTCGGACGTTCATCACCAGGACCCCAGTGCGCCCATTTTGAAGTTCAGCTACTACTCTCGCGACGCCAGTACCTTTTCCCAGGAGCAATTGAACGTTGTCTTCTAAAACAACTTCGTCGCTGGTAGCTGCATCAATCACAGCCGGTACAACAACACTTGATCGCGGTGGAAGGTTCGCCTGGTCGGCAGCAACTCGGATGGCAGCTGACGCCGTTTGGAGTTTCTCAGGAGGCGAAACAGGCAGCCGCAGCGTCACCTTATTCTGTTCATAGTCCATGACGGCGCCATAATAACACAGAAAGTCCGTGCCGTAAATGACGCGTCTCTGGCAGTCTTGTAGAACGACGAATTTAAAGGGCACATCTCGCCGTGAATCTCGACTACGGCAGTGCACTTTCCGACGCGCGTAATGAGGTGTCCTCCGGCGGTTCGACTTTGTGGTCCACCCCAGTGCGTAAGAACCTTCCACATATGGTCAGAGAGGCTTTCATTCAAGTCTGAGTTGTCTGCCCCGATGTCCAAAAGCGCTGACGCGTCGTGGCCTTCGAAAATAACGCTTAGTCTATTGGGCACGCTTGTAGAAGCGTCGTTACCATGCGTGGCGTCAGAAGAGAAAGAGCGCGCCGGCGTCCTTCGGTTGTCCTCGGCGACGCCACCTCCAGGCTTTGCCGCACTTAGTTTTCCCGGCGAAAAATCTGCGAACGGCTCTCTCGACAGGACCGACGAAGAGCCCACACCAGACGGCGCGGGGACGGCGATCGGGATCTTCGGGGATGAGCTTGCCCAGGGGATGGTGCCCGGCGCGAAAACTCCTTGATATCCCTCGGTCGCACACCGTACTTCGGACACGGGACATCTGTCCGCGAATCGTTCAAGTCCAATTTCACGATAAGCACATCGTCGATATACGTGGCCCGCTTCACCGCAGTGCCAGCATGCAGGTCGTCGGTCAGCGGTTCGCCAGACGTCGGTCTACCTTGGCGCAAATGGTTCATTGCGCACGTGCGCTCAATCTTCCTGGAGTCGGGGATACTGCTTAGAAGGGGCGTCTTGTCAAAGTGGCGTCTGGTAAAGAGGGGCAGCGGGCGGCGACCCTCGGGCTACTGCGTCCTATGTCACCAATAGCTCTTCGGGTGGGGCCACGATGACAGCAGTCTCTGATGGGATGGCTAATTGAATCTCCTCTCTCACTTCTTTGGCGATGTAAAGTGGGGCGGGCGTGTGGCAGCGGGCAGCAGCTTCTTCAGCTCTTCCTGGGCGACTTCAGGTATGATGTCGCGGATCCCAGTGATGCTGAAACTGATGTCGTAGTACGGTAGCGAAGAAGCAGCTACGCTCGAGTGTTGATGGTAGTGGCTGGCTCTTGCGACGAGGGCACGTTTCATGTTTATGGCCTCAGTGATAAAATATTCGACGGTAGAAGTAGGGTTGCGAAGAAGACCACCGAAAATGTCATCCCTCACACCTCAGATGAGGATCCGCAGCTTCTTTTCGTCGGTGACTTGACGGTCGGCGCGAGCGATCAGGCGCAGAGCATCTAGACGAAGCTGGTGTGTCTCTCCTTTAGGCCTTGAGTCCTTGTTCGAAGGAGGTATTGCGCCCTCTCGCGTCGGTGTTGGCTGGCAAACGTCTTCTTGAGTTCTTGCTTGCAGACCTCCCACGAAAGTTAAATTGGATTTGCTTATATCGTATTCTAGCTTACTTTAGGAAGTGTGACTCCGACAGCTTATCGAGGACCTCAATAAATCCTCATTGCTCAGCCACAATAAAATCTGTATCTCAAGGCTTCTTTTTACTATCCTTGTGTACGGGTCATATACACTAAACAAATACCTCACTGAAAGATTTAGGGAGTTTCTTGATAGTAAATATTACTACGAAGCTCATAGAACACAATAATTTTGCAAATTATTTATAAAGTAAGCCACCATACACGCAGCATCTGACCCTATAGCCGCGCTTCGGTGGAACCAAATTGATTCTACACTCTACAAAGGCGATCAAATGAATTTGTGCGGAAAATACGTGTTTGCCTTTTTAAAGTTAAATTTATTATATGCACTAAATCAGTGGTTTCTAAACGGGGGTGCGCGGACCCTTTGCGGTCCGCGAAAGCATTCTAGGGGTTCGCGAAGCCTTGATTCATCAGTCAAGCCCGGCAAAAAAAAGTTGTCTTTTTTCAGATCGAGAACGATTTATTTTTTTAAATTTTCGGGGGAGTTATTTCGTGTGTATATCAATAAGAGAAGTCTACTTCACACTAGCCCTTAGTGAGATCACTTTATTATATCAATATTATATTTAACCTATACGTTCCCCCTCCTATCACCACGAGCGAAGTAGGAGCGCGGGTGAGATTATAAACCGCGCCGATCTTGACAATATGTCTCTAACAATATTGGCATTGCTACCACTACGAACGCTCGTCACGTATTCCTAACTACCGCAGCAAGTTGTTCCTGAGTATATTTAATTCCTGTTCACTGCCTCATCATTAAAAATCATAATCACGCAACGACAGCATCAACTGAACAATTTGGACGCCGAGCGTCAACCGAAACACCGATTAAACGCGAGCTACGGCAGCGCGCCGACGCAGCACTTGTATCCACTCTGTGTGAGTGCTTGATCGTTAAGTGGTGGCGTTAAAATTTGAGCGAACTCGCCTTACCATCCCCCTTATACCTCTAACCCAGCAGGACGTTGGAATCGACGTGCTAGTCAGACCAATCAACAGTCCGTCTTGCACCCCGTGATCACGGTGTTCGAGGATATTCACGGACAGAGATTGTGAGCCGAAAACGATAAAAGACACGCCACTGATAGTAGCGCGAGCATGTGTCTCCAGAAACCCTGTCAGCTTAGTTAAACAATAAATACAGTTTCGGTGGCGTTGACCAAACGCGATGTACAACGCGAAGTTATGATTATCAAGAAACGTTGGACAGTTTGAAAATACAAAAGCTAGACACAACGAAAATATACTTTCCAGGATAATAGAGCATAAAAATGTGCAGAACGAAGTCATCTTAATTATCTTTGTGTTCAATGATCTTGCCTGATTATTTCTTTTTTTGTATATGAACTCTGATAAAATTTTTAGTTACCTATATTATGGGGGTCACAACCTCGGTGGCGCGGGTGTTAAAACTACGTGACCGGAACAGTCTTTTATTTTATCGTTAAATGAAAATGGTCAGAGCAATTTAACACAATCATTGATAAGTGAATGTCAGTGAATACCTACGACATGATTATATGGAATAAAACTTCTATGGCAGGAGTTCTGGTTTATATTTGAGCGTAGACGACAAGAAGGAAGCTCTTTTTACGTTTACTTTGTATTCAGGCAATAGAAAACCTGATGTTGCTTTAAATCATATCATTTTAAAACGACAATGTTTTTTTGTTTTTTTTTTTTTTTTACAATAAGATAAACTAGCTCCTTCGGCTTTCTGTTTTAGAATATTTTCTGTGATAAACAATTACGGCTTTATTTTTAATAAGTATACTTTCATTGCTTTCTGTGAAGCACAGTTCTAATACATCATTACAGGTGAGTTACAGTTTTAATCGCTTTTTTTCCCCCAGGGTGAACCTTCCACTGGGAAATTCTCCAGATTTCTTACGTGTGTTCTCCTGCAGTCCTAACTCGACTATGAACATTAAAAATAAGTGCCCAATGTGGTAACCAAACGCAGGCAACAATTCAATATAAAAATCGAATTGAATAAAATTCCACAATTCAAACCCTCGATCTCTCATGGTGTGCATGCGCACTGGCGCTGTAGATATCAAAAACTTTAAGTATGTAAAATTGCAAAATCTAAGAAAACACGTAGTGCATCAATTTGCCTAATTGTTACTTTGCAGGCCGGTTTTTCTCCACACAATTTCACGGGTCATTTAGTTTCAAACGCTCTTTTTTATATCGTTCAGTATGTTTTGCTGCCTGTCGTGTTTTTCGAACTATAGTCCCCATTGTTCGAAAGTCAAATTCAGTAACGTATCCTGAAAAGTGCAAGTTTTATTGGTACACAGAAAAAATAACTTCTATGATACAGAAATCATCATTAACATAACCTGACATGTACAACATCTGTAATATCTCGTCATTTTAAACAACACTGAAAAACAATTCCTTCAATAGTTCGCACACGTAGATAATCCACACCGCGTTATTTTTCCACTTTTAAACGTGTACAGCCCCTGGACTACAGACGAGAACATAAGGTACTTGAGAACTGATATAAACATTGACTACTCGATAACATCTCTCAATTTTATGTACCAAGCAAGACATGGGCACTAATCTGGTCAACTCGACATTGTATGCATATAAAATAATCAACCACGTTTCCGTTATCACAATAACATCTCTTGCTGCGACACATAAATAATATTATTATTATTTTTAATATAATTAATAATAATAATAATAATAATAACAATAATAATAATAATAATAATAATAAAACATTTACTTTTGAGAACTATACTCATGACGAAGCAGTCTGGTTCGTCAAAGCCGGTTCGTCAAAGTCTGGTTCGTCAAAGCCTTTCAAGTAGAATTGCAACATATTAAATATTAAAAATAATGATAAAATAATAATGATAATAATTATTATTATTATTATAATAAATAATATTAATAATCGATTAATCGTTATTTTATTTGGTGCCCAGCAACAAACATAAGGTCTTGGAGCTGGCACACCGACATATTCAAACACTTACTAAAATAATATTTGTAATAAGAGTACCTTTTTTTTAACAAAACCAATGTTGAAAAGGTGACAAGGTAACAAGATAAAAAAAATCTGTGCGAAACAATTTGAAGAGTACCCGAGCCATCTAAGCTAGCCCCCGCAGGGGGCACCTGTGTAAGCAGGTGTTTAGAGAGAGGCGTCAACACGGACCCTGAGCCATGCGGGTTCGCCCGCCCACGTCTGGCTCTGCGTGGCTTTCCCGTGTCCGGGGAAAAGGGCATCCTGGTGGTTGAGCCGAGCCCGGGGTAGGTTTGGTCCCTTCGGGGCTCCCCGGGCAAGGCAATACACCACTTCGGCCCCCGCTTCCCGTAGACGGGTGTACTGGCTTGGCCCGACCAAGATGATTCAGTCAGTCGCCACTTCTACTATCAGCTCCCTTCTTTCACCCTTTTCTTCTCCTTCTTTTCACTCTTCTCATTTCTCTTCTTTCCTTTCTCGACTCCTTTGGCGGCAAGGCCTAACCTTGGGTGGCGACAGAACTCTGTCTTTACCCACACTTGGTTATAGCATCCTAGTACACTCTTAGGAAAAAGGGTATGGATAGTCCTCCCTTAGGGGGAGGAACGGTCTTGTAACCTATATTCCTTTAGAAAGGGAGAAACTTTCGACCCTGAAGAAGGGGAGCAACTAGTTCCTCCGTCCCCTGCATCTCATTATGGCGGCCCTGAATCGAGCAAATCGAGCTCAATAAGGCTTAATGAGGACGCTTCGTCTCTTGTACGGGACGAGAAGAGCAGCAAATAAAAGCGTAACACGAGCTTTCCGCGAACTGGGTTTATTTTCGAAGCCAGATTTTCCCCGCAAGTAAAGAAACTTGCGTTTCGAAAGCAGTCACTCAGTCTTCTCGTCGATAGCACTGCGATGTTAAACGGAGACAACCGATACCCAGTTACTTCGCGCACTTTGCGTCTTACCTTTGGTGTTCCTCGAGTCACAACTCCTTCGTCAACCGCATATCACGGAGAAGGGCAAACCAATCCGCGAAACCAAAAGCCGCTCTCGAATGAGCAAACTCGGAGCCGGTGTTTATCGCGTAGCGTGAAAGAAGGTTACAACGCTGCCACCAAATGGCGGGGTCAAGCAGAGTAATTGCAAGTGGCTAGGCTAGGTGGCGCTAGGTACCGCTCAACTCATGTTCTACAAAAAATAATGTGATTTTCTTTGGCCACTATTGCGCTTGGGGATCCTCTACGATACACACATTGCGCTTACTACGAACATCAGACGAACATACGTTGAGCGCATACACGGCACATACAAATATCAATACAACGGAACACCACACTAACCCGAACACTACACCTGTGCTCGGCCTTTCCGTCTTTTATACTGATCGTTTTGAATGGACGGAATTTTTCGGTGACTGAATAAGAAATAAACAATATTCCCACCATGATGATTGTTTCCCAGCAATATCATACCTCTGAGAGTATTTTGAATGGCTCAGGAAATGAATCTTTTATTAAAAAGCAAACGCTCGATCATGCCGTAATTATTTGAAAGCCAATAAATCAAGCCGCTCCAATGTGGTTCGAAGCCATGAGTTTGTTTCCCCGCACGGCACGTCGTAGCCTGTATTTCAATTGTTGTGTTTCTTTTTCTATTTCTGCTGTTCGCGCAAAGCTGCAGTTGCCGTCTTGAATTAATATCTGTAGAGTGGATATTCACTCAGTTGGAATCGATGCTTCACGGACTGAGAAATCGCTTTTCGATCAACTTGAATGCAGTCAAAGCCGCGACTTGCGGCAGGTGTTAAGTGTACGGAGCTACGCCGTGGCGAGCCCGAAAACTTCTAGCGCTCATCCCAGCGCGCCACTTGGAGGGCAGTTTCTCCAGGAACTGTAGTATATTTAAACAGCAAAATAAAGGGTAGCATTTTTTTCTCTCTATTTTACCTACTATTATTTTTTAATGCTAAAATTCCACACTGTAAATATACGTACTTTCCGTCACGATTTCGTACTGTTGTCCTTGCCCAAGAGCGCAATCGCTCCCGGGGACGAGACAACCGACAGTCACATTGGCCACTGTACGATAGGAGCTCATACTGTTCAGACCAGCGTTCCAACATGACAATCCGCACGTTGATCGATTGCACCTAACCCCTCAAGTCGTATTGAACTTTTTAATGTAAAGCGAAATGTCAACCTGCGACACCCCGCCCCCCTCTGATCACGGCCCGACCAGCGGCATCAATGCCCGACAGTTTACGCCATCTCATCTTGTTGTTACGCCACTGACACGCGAACACACAGTCGCATCGGCGATAATTCGTCTTCTGTTCACAACCCACACCACTGCCATCACGATGTTGCTGCTATGTTGCTGACACGCACAAATACAGAACCACGTTGAACGCCGGTTGCATTCGGCATCGGAAAACAGAACCGATCTCAGCACGAAAGGCACCCAGGCAGCCGGCAGCAAAACCTGCCTGTCTTGGACGCCGTTCCTGCGGTTTCCATAACGTCGAAAACGTCGACACAGTTCCGCGTGGTTTCGCTACTGTAGTTCAGTGCCGCGTCAGTCCCGCAATCCGGAGACGGGCATCCTAACCAGTTTACGTGGCGCTGCTGCCACTGCTCCGGTGCTCCGGAACTTCGCTGTTTCTAGCGGCTTCGTTTGCTCGTTTGATAAAATTAGTGATAAAAACGTCAATGCAACCGAAATGTTCTGCACGTTTAGACTAGAAGACAGAATTACAGGCAGTCTTCGCTGCCGCTGAAGCTCAATCAACTCAACAGCTATTTATTAAACAACGTGCGCGACCTGCTCGAAAAAGGAAACCGAAAGAAGATGAGTCGGGAGGACGAAAGCTTTCTCCCGTCTGCCTGGAGAAGGAGAAACACGTTTCGTTCCTCCCCTTTTCTCGTGTCCGCTTGGGGGCGCGTCAGTAGAAGGGAGGAAGACGCGCCGTTGCTACTTTTTTCCTCCATTGTTTTCTTAGAGTGTAGCACTTGTAGAGTCACGTACTCAGACAAGCCAGACCTGTTATGAGATGTTACCGAACCCCTAGTTGGACTCCGTGGTGGGTGGTGCGCTACAGATGCCGAAGTACTTGCCCTTCATATGGCGCCCCTCCTCTCTAAACCCGGTTCAAGGCAGGCTTCTAAGAGGCCTCGTCCTGAGCCCCGAGTCACTGAAAAAGCCCCTGAAATGGGAACATTTGCAAAGTTTTTTGTCATTCACTCGAACCTCGAAGATACACCAGTGTCGAAATTGTCCCCCTTTGTGGTAGCCAAGGTGCTAGAAAGCCTCATCGGGTTCTCATATAAAGCGAAAAAACTCCACTTCGGCCACCTTCTCGTTGAAATAAATACCAAAGTCCAAAGTGAGGCACTCTCCAAGATGACCAGCACAGTCGACGTCGATGTGTCCGCGAGTCCTCACCGGACGCTCAACACGATCCGTGGAGTCCTTTCTGAAGACGACATCCTCGACGCCAGCGAGGAAGAAAATCTGGAAAAACTGAAAGATGCCGGTGTTGTCGCCGTTAAACGTATTATGTTCCGGAAGGATGGCAAGGAAACCCCGTCAAAGCACGTGATCTTGACCTTTGAGAGACACACCGTTCCTGAAACTGTGAAGGCAGGCTATCTCCAGTGTCGCATCAGTCCCCATGTATCCAACCCGCAACGGTGCTTCCGCTGCCAACGCTTTGGGCAAGGGTCACGCAGTTGCCCAGGGAAAGAAACTTGTGCGAAATGTGGAAGCCAGGAACATGTTGCAGACATTTGCGAGACGGCGGCCCGCTGTAGTAGCTGCAGTGGGCCCACCCTAGCTTACTCCCGCACCTGTCCCCTTTGGCGTCAAGAGAAAGATTCTTTCCCTAAAGACAAAGGGGAACACCACTTACTTGGAGGCTAAGAAGAAGCTGTCCTTCCTCTCAAAGGGAGGTTACGCCGAGGTGGTGCGAAGAGGC